TTTTCGAACATTCCGCCGTTCTTCTTTGCAGCCCCTGGACCCTCAAGTCCGTGCAAACCGATGTCCAGTGGCTGACCTGTACGTTGATCCCTGTCTGGGGTGTCATACGCTTCTTGCCTGGGAAGCAACGTCAATACCGGCCGTCATAGTACTCGCAGGTGATCGCGTGACTCACAATGGAATGTGGAAAAACATCAGTGCATTCGGTTTGGCTAACTTGCGAGTCGAGGGCGTGATCTGGTCGGATTGCCGAAGCCATAAGTCACCGAAATCCTTGGCCGTATCCGGGGTGAATGGCCGTTCAATGGGCATTATCGAACCCGATTCCTGCAGGAACCAGTTGATTTGGTCCTTTGTAGTAATGCGTGAGAAGAAATGTTTTGGTAGACACCAAAGGCATACGGACTTCATGAATCCAGTCATATTCAGTAGGGAAGAAGTACCCCAGCCAATCCAGATATCCTTTGGAATACGATCCAGAGTCGACGAAATAAAGGGTCAACAGATGAGTCATAGAGCTGTGTCGACATATTAGTGGATCATGCTTGTCAGTCCGCCTATTTACTTTACCTATCGGCACTCTTCACTTTCAGAATATAATTTCCAACACCGTGGATATCTTTGGGACCCCTCTGAACAAGGGAGAAGGGAAGGTTTTGCATCATTTTGAGCTGCTCCTCCTTGACGTCCCCGTCTTCCTCATCGTGATTCCCAAATATCGCAGCCCACGGTATCTTTCTGTCTGTTACTTCCACTGCAAATTTGGCAAGTACGGACTTTGGATCCCATGACGTCCCTTGTCCATTAAGCTGATCTCCAGTGAATACGACGAGATCAGGCTTCTCTGTGTCGAGCACGCGTCCCAGCAAGGAATTCGTCAGATTGTCTGATGCGACACACGGATCGATAACGGTGTCCCTGCAAACGCCGCGGGAGACAGAATAGTGCAAATCTGCGACCTGAAGGATTCTGAATTTACCATCCCGCGAAAAGTGGAGGGGGGGTGCACGTGGTACCGCTGTTGTTCGAGAGCGAATCAACCCCGGTTCTGTTAGTTGGCGACCCACTTACGCTGAACGCCCCTTCGGTAAGTCACATACACACTTTCTAAACGACCCTCCTTCTCAGGTGTGACTGGCGGCTCGAGCTTCTCAAAGCCATACCAAGGACGGTCTTCGCCAAACAGAACGTCAATCTCGGTGATTATGTGTTGCTTCTCCTCTGTGTTCATCTCGCTCATCGTTTTTCCGGTTCTGAACCACATGAAAAGGGGCTTCGTGTGCATGACACCGTCACGGATAGAGTGGGAAACTTTGTACCACGAGTCCGTCAACGGTGTCGGCTCCCCTCCTGGAGGAAGAAGTTGAATATCGGTTATGAGAGGTATGTCAAGACGCCTGGTGCGTCTATAGTATATGTTCTAAAGTACGGATGAGCATGGTCCTGAGACCATTCAATGCTAGCTGTCTCACCAGACTCCAGAGACCAGACTGCATATTGAGATCGCGTTCCACCCGGACCCATTTTCCTTTGATAGCATCTTGCTCGACCGTAGAGTCTGGAGCACAAAGGTCACCGACGAATCCCGCCGGTACCATGCATCGAGTGATGGCAATTTCCGACACTGCACTATGGGATTAGCGGGTGGAACATCAACGACGTGCACAACACCATACACCCAGTGTCATGGGGCAATAAAGGTGCCCACACGTCGGTAGGATAACTTGAGGTATCATATGATCCATCGCCTGGATAAGTCGTATTCCACCAATCCGTGTTCCACCAGTCAGTATCCGCGGGAGTATCAATAGGGTCCGCTGGCTTAGTTGGAACAGCCTCAGATGTTTCTCCGTCCTCCAGGTTGCCACCATGCTCGAAGTAGTCCACGGTTGTTACGGAGTCCCATGATTGCCATCCAAGTCTTTGAGCGAGTCCTGGTCCTGGGGTCGGTTGATAAAGTATGAAAATGAATGTCAGGAGGCAGGAGAATCCGATGATTAACGCTGCTGGAGCAAAGATTCCTCGAAGGAAGCGAAAAAAACGACCGCACGACAAGATCATGCTGCAGCTGCGAGACCCTCTCCAAGTACAGGCCGAGAGTAAGAGTAATTTTCCCTGTTGGAGGATTTGTCGTATGTAGTGACAGACTGCAGAGTGCGGCTTCACTTGCGGCTATAGGTCACGTGTGCCACGTGGCGTCCGATGCACCATTTTAGGATTTTCACGTCCTTGCTTTTCCTTAGTTCACGGTCAAATTCGCTTGCGCCATAATGCAGTCACTGGGACGCATCGTACGACGGTCGTACTCTACTAAACCTCCTTCCGAACCCATAATCAAGGCAAGAACAGCCCTCCCAAAACATGCAGCTGCAGCTCGAGATGCATCGGAACCCATGGCTATTCAGCAACGACATCAGAAACTGGGTCCAGAATTTCTGCCCCCGCCGGAGAGCGACCTCACGCCTTTCCAATACATGTCGTACATGCGTGCGCTTTACAAAGGTGACCTGGAGCTGGAGGGCGGGAGAGATTTGACAGAAGCAGAGTGGTTGGACAGGTTGAACGAAAAGCGCACGCGCATTCGAGGCTTCAGAGTCGTGAACGCAGAAGGGGAGAAGCAAAAGAAGGTAGTTGGTCAGAAGATCTACCTGCCCAATATCCTATTTCGCATGGTGCGAAATCATACACCGAAGGGGCAGGCCTACAACCCCTACGAAGCTACTTTCCGCATTCCCCAGTCCATCACGAAAATGGATATTCGGTCATACCTTTGGACCGTCTACAGCGTCAAGACTACGTATATCCGCACTGCAAATTACATCTCGCCTTTGCGTCGTACGCGATCGGGGATGAGGCCCGTTGGTGCTTATCGCACGTACAAACGCGCCGTTGTTGGCCTTGTGGATCCATTCTACTACCCCCATGATGTAGCAGACATGGACAAGAAGTCCAGGAAAGAGCGAGAAGAATGGTTGGACAAAAACTTTGGATTCACCGCCGTCGCTCGGTGGAGGAGGCTTGAACTGATTCGCTCTAGCAAGGCTGGAAGCAACAGCTCATCCTGGAACTTTACGGGTTACGTGCGAAGGGATCAGATTTTGAAAGAGGTTGCAAAGAGGAAGGCATTGGCAGCACGGGAGTTGGACAAGGTCGAATGGGAGATGGTGCGGAAACAGAAAGCTGGGCAGCAAATACTGTCGGACAGGAAACGGCGGTCGCGTACTCCTTCGGGCTCACGCGCCCTGACGGTTTCATGAAGCATGTATCGTCCCCCCTGCTCGTACTGATGTGTTACTTCTAAGGATGCAGCTGGCGTCCACCATTTCTAGTGCGCATCCATACAAAGCCGCCAAGGGGTGCGTTCTGCCAACCATTCCACGCAGCTTTAATACCCCTAGACTTGCTGTTCTAGTCGCTCCGGGGCGTCGAGCGATTTTCTGATTTCCGAGAGATGATTGTGCCATGGGGATGGTATATCGCCGACACTGAGTACGATGAGGTCGAGCATCAAACGATCAATCGTGCTTGGAAATCTTACAAGTCTCTTGATCTCTGGCGCCTCACCCGATTTAACTCCCCGGGCATCTTTATATGCCGTGGCGTACAAAAGATATAAGAAAGCTTGAAAAACATCCTGGCGTAGCTGGTTACTACGTCAGGAGCTCAAACAGAGTGAGTGAGTGGTATCAAGGAAGTGAGAGGCCTTTTTTCTAGGTGACACTTGACTGCGCCTTTATGTACACCTCGCCCGGTAAACAAAGCAGAAAAGCCGAAAGGCCTGTTACAATGACCAGTGACCAACCTGTGCAGCAGACAATGAGAGGTGGACAAAAGCAGTTTAGTACTTTTGTCCATACTAGGAAGGTGTTGTGGTTGCTGTGACTGACGCTCTTTGTTCAAAGCCAAACACCTCGTCACGTAGGTGCAACGCAGAAAGTAAGGTACGAAGGAAGGGGGGAAGAGAGACATGAGACATGTCAGTGAGTATTTTCTCCCCCAAAAAGCCTTCTCGTTCAGGTCCGAATCGGCGGGAGGATCAAGGACCGGCCCCGTCGCAGTGATAATTGCTATTCAGTACATTGACGTGCATCGGACAGATGGCCGAGCGGTCCAAGGCGCCAGACTAAGGAGACCAGGCCATCAGATGGCTTGCATTCATCTGGTCTCATTGAGGCGTGAGTTCGAATCTCACTCTGTTCAAATTTTTTCATTCTTGCTTTGCTACCCTGTGCTCTTCGGCAGAAATCTCCGAAAATTGCACCATCGCACTCAGTAGCTTTTTCTTAAAGTATCCATGTACAGGCAAACCAGTTGAACACATCGTGGTATCATATCAACACAGTAATAGGCAACGTGCCGGCCATCGGACAGATGGCCGAGCGGTCTAAGGCGCCAGACTAAGGAGACTAGGCTATTGGATAGCCAGTACAAATCTGGTCTCATTGAGGCGTGAGTTCGAATCTCACTCTGTTCAAATTTTTTGACTCTTCCTTGGTGACCTTTGCTACAGTCACACCGCCCCGTCCTACTTGACGCCTCCGAGATCTCGTAGTATCCGACCTCCTGGGTACAGCCAAGGGTATTGAAGCCCTCATCCAATTCCACCAGCGCACCGAGGCCTTCAAGAAGCGTGCCCAAGACGCGCGGCCGCACTCGCTCCCTGCCTCTTCCTGACGACCCGCCGTCCCTCTCTCCCGCCCGTTCTCTCTTTTCCTTTATTTACCACTCGTCTCGTCGTTACTATTAAGTTTTAGTATCACTTCGTTACTCTTCTTATTACATTAGTCATCACTACTTACATATGCCACGGCCATATGGCACCGCGTCTTAACACAATCTGATGTTTGTAGCGGTATCCCGGAAGAAATATCCGAACACTGCGACACTGCACTCGATATTTATTCAAGCTGTAGGGTACGTACAGGCAGACCAATTGGAGTTGGTTCGTGGTCTTGTCTCACCATGGTGATAAATGCTATTTATAATCCTAGCTGATTATCGGACAGATGGCCGAGCGGTCTAAGGCGCCAGACTAAGGAGACCAGGCTATTGGATGGCCTACACTCATCTGGTCTCTCTGAGGCGTGAGTTCGAATCTCACTCTGTTCAAATTTTTTCACTTTCGCATCTAATGCTACTCTAGAGGACGCTATCTTTTTGTTAGTGATCGCCTGACTTGTGATCGTATTCCTACACCAAGACCGTCAGATCCTATATTTTCTCTACGAGCAGCTTATGTGGGTTGGCAGAGGATCAGGGAATGGCGTACGTGCATGGCAGTCTGTTTAGTGCGACAGAACACAAATCGTTAGAATACAACAGTCTCGTTGGGAAATACTAGGCCATGGTGCGTCTCCCACTCCATCTGCCAATTGTTGAGTCTTCTCATAAGGTCTGCCCATTCCTCCTCTGTTTGGATGCCCCGCAGCCACTCCCTCTGCTGCCCCGAGTGCTCCACCCGTGTCCAGCCTCGCCTCAGATACTGGTATCCTGCCACTTCTCGTCGCCAACTCTCCACAAACTTGCTGGTGCTATCAGGTAGCGCCCCTCGTTCTTTCAGATAATTGATTAAACCATCCTGATAGTCATATGAAGAGCCGTCTACCATCCTGTGGCCAGTATAGAATGGGTCATATCCTCGAGAGCGCAGATCTTCTTCGCTGTCCTTCAGCTGTTCTAGCAGTGCTTCGCGAGACCCAAGCAGACTTCCATTAGCGATTACTTGGGCAGCATAAATACTCTGCGCTACATCCGAAGGGCAGTTCGCAATGAGGATGGGAAGACCAACGAATGCCAATGCGTTCGTAGGATACGATTTCGACGACGAGAATATGTGCTGGTGAAGCGGGAAAAGATAACGAAGGTTGGTTGTCAAGCGGTGCACATCAGTGTCGTTTGATTTCGGTTTGACCAACACTTCGCCGCCCTCTTCGAGGAATGGTACGCGCAGATCGTATCCTGTCGCCAGGATGACTGAATCTACGTCGACAGGCACCGGGATGTCGATGAAGACCACACCGTCTGTCGTAAAGTGGGAGATCTCTGGCTTGACTTCCACTTGTCCTGACGCAGGGTCCGACCAACTTCGAACGCAGTGATAAACCTACGTCCGCGTTCACCCACGTACATATGCACTGAATGGAGGCTTACCTTTCGAGCTACCGAAGCCAATTGTGACACAGCATCTTGTCCACTGGCTCCCGACCCTACGACCACCACAGACCGGTTTGCGTACCGCTGTGGCTCGCGATACCACACAGAATGCAGGATCTCACGTTTAAATCCGCCGACTGGGCTACTCTTCAACCATTCCTCCTGCCCGGGAAATACAGGTATACTGGGATAATGGTTGTGTCCGCTGGCGACTACCAGGTGGTCAAATGACTTGCGCATCTCGTGATCATTATGATCTTGAACAACCACTTCCCAATGCCCCTTGGTCGGTGTTCCGACCCATGATGTCGTTAAAACGGTATGATTGAGCTTGATGTAAGAGGAGAGATTACAATGGGAGGCGTAATCCTGATGGTATTGTTCCACATATTCATGGCTTGGATACAGTGGCGTTCCTGGGGGGAATGGAAACTGTGGGTAAGTCATAGTAGGCACTGGGGTGTTCGTGTGGAGTAAGGGGTACAGCGGGGTCTCTGGTAGGTCTGGTGGATGGACCGGTTGAGGATCTGGGAGCCTACGTCTGTGAGTTGTCGATTTTACTACCAAAGTGAGGCCGTACCATATTCCACCGACATCCCTCCGCTGTTCATAGAGCACTATTTCCCAGTCTGCTCGCAATTCCTCAGGCAAGTCGACCAGAGTCTTTAGCATTGCCAACCCAGCGCTACCAGCGCCGACGACAGCGACCGACTTTAGGGTCTTGTGTGGCAGCACTTCTTGACGAAAGCTTCTGCCCCAACTACATCCCCCTTGTTGTAGTACAATGTAGGTTATGAAAGAGATCACGAGTGAATGGAAATCAAACATACTTGACTATGCCTGACCTCCGCAAGCCTCCTATATAGGGGCAAGTCCTTGTGAATCTGAGCTCATCGTGAAGTATGATGGCGTGAGCGGTCAGATGCATGTCAGCAGTAATATAAGTTATGTATAACTCCAGGCCACGTCTGGCCAGAACTGCGATTGGAAGCAATCCTGTTATGATACATCGTATTGCGGTCCCCTCATCCCCGAAAACGCCCTCAGCTCCGACTGAATTTCTCCCCAAGCTGGTCCAGTAGCAACTTGAGCTCCTCCGCCTGCTCTATTAGCTTCCCTATCGTCGCTTCGCCTGGATGTGTCGAAGGGGACTCCACTGAGACAGGCTCTTTCCAACTGGACGTCTGTACCGCTTCGTCGACCACGGCCTTCCATGTCTTGCCTTCCGTTTTCAGCAAGGAGACAAGCTCGTCTTTAATGCGTCGACAGGCGCCAGCACCGTCGTATCCAAATCCAGTGTAAACTTGAACGAGAGATGCGCCTGCGCGAGCGTACTCCAGCGCGTCCGCACCAGAGCTAATACCACCACAGCCAAGGAGTGGGATGCTGGCAGGGAGATGCCCGCGAAGCGTTTTCAACGCCTTGAGAGAATAAGGTTTGAGCGGCGTTCCCGAGAGGCCGCCCACTTCGACCTTGTTTTCTGAATAAACAACTGGTCAGAACATCATTCAACGCAGAGATGACGCCAAATATCCTCACGGTCTGCTAACGATGACGGCCGAGTTATAGTGGTATTACTGACGATGACGCCATCTATTTCACTGTTCCGTATCACTTCTGCCATTTCAATGATTTGAGATTCTTGCAGGTCTGGTGCTATTTTCAATACCAGACGCGGGCGACGAGACGTTACTGGAGATGGCTCAAGCTCATTTCGGGCCTTGACAACGTCCGCAAGTAGATTCTCCAAAAGTTCTCGATTTTGCAACCCGCTTTAACATCCCGAGGTTGAGTACGGGGTCGGGAGATACACGGTATACTTACCGCAATCCAGGGGTATTTGGGCTGGAAACGTTTACCACGAGTACATCAGCGTAAGAGCCAAACGTCTTGACACCCGTGACGAAGTCCTCTGAGGATTCCACAGGCGAAGTCTTGTTCTTCCCGAGGTTGATGGCAAGCACAGATCCAGGGCGGAGTGAAGCAGTTGCAGAATCATCAGCTTCATGGAAAATCGGTATCCGAGAGCGTAGGCGTGATATCACAGCAGCAGCGCCTTGCGATGGGAAACCGTAACGATTTATAAGCGCAGAATCAACAGGCAGGTGGAACACTCGTGGACGAGGGTTGCCTGCCTAAGATGGTCTTGTGTTAGACGCTTTCATTGAGTCGGATAGAACAAACCGCAAATCTATGCAGGTCGCGAGAACGGTCCTTACCTGAGCTTTCGGCGTGACGCTTCCTATTTCAACCCAGCTGAAGCCAAGGTCAAGTAGACCTGACGATATAAAAGTCAGGCCATGCTTAACAGAAAGATGGCCTTACACACCATCTATTGCCTCTCCATCTTTGTCAAAGCCCGCAGCGAGACCAACTGGATTCGATATCTCTTGTCCAAATACCTACACCGGAAATAAGTAAAGGCTCAGCTCCAGCACATCAAGTTTCCACCTCCGACCGAAGGGCATCATCGTCTTTCACAGTGTCTTTGGGTGCGAAGCCGCTTCTTAGCACCTTGAGAGCGAATTTTTGTCCAGTCTCCGCGTCGAAGGTATACCTCAAAATGGGTGTTAGGATATAGCGGTGTAGCGCAGAGCGCGCATCGAAGTAATACGCGGTCAAAAGACCAGCCGAAACGGCGAAGAGTATCGTGTAGCCGGTGGTCCGGATTGACGATGTTCCCGAAGACGAGGTAAACGCTCTTCGCTGTGGTACATGCGCATATGGAGAAGATATTCGTCGCCGCAAAGCATGCTGAAGACCAACGCTCCTGAATGTCAGACTCGCCATGCTCCCGCCTACAGCCCTCGGAGAAACTCGTTTGCGAGCTGGTGTTTCGCGAGTAGTTTGTTTACGCTTGTTGAATTCAGAAGTTGGACTCGAGTGTCTAGCATGGATTGTCTACAAGGAAGCTGTGACTGCTATAGTACCTTTCCTGAATCCCAGCTTCTAGGCGTCTACTGCTCGATTAAAGTGTTATGAATAAAAATGCGAATGCCGCCGGAATGAAAGCTATCCAGAATTCTGTGATTACGATACTTCCACGAGACGGACTGCTGGACGCGGCGCCAGAAGTTGAAGTATAAGGTGCATTCCTTTAAAATAAAATAATACAAGCATCGTGGTCATTGTAAACAGTTACTGCATGTCTCCATCGTGAATAACTAGTTACTTACAAAGTGACCACAAAAGCGCCCGAGCCAACACTGCCGAGCGAAAACCCAGAGGACGTAGTCGTTGTTCCGCCCGCGAACACCATTGTCGCTCCTGTTCCATTGACACCAACATCGCTCCAGTTCACGGATTTCGTGACATAATTCGTGTTCGCGGCGAGCACAAGCGTCTGGTTTGAGGTTCTCCATGTCGCGACGTCGACCCCATTGACGACATAGTTCGATCGGACGGATGCAGAGTTAAATAGGAAAGGCGTGATCTTGGGAAGACTCAGTGCGAATGATGAAGCATTGCCTTTAATATCCGGCGTCGTTGGATCCACCCAAGGGACAACGCCAAGAGCACCGTGGTTGATTCCTACAATGCTTTGGACAAGCCATTCCTCGCCAGTGACATTGCGGACCCAGTAACTATATTGCAGAGCAAGGTGAATCACTGTCCCTGTTTGCATAAGATACCACTCACCCTTCCTCGCCAAACGCTTGAGGAACAGTCCAGACAGCTTTGGTGCGCTCCCATCCCATGACCATCATTCGATTTTGAAAACTGTCAATGCGACTGCTGATGTCAAAGAATGTGCCAACACCACTGTTTGCGGGCACCGAACCACTCAGCGATGTGCCAAGTGGCACAGCGTCGGTGTCTCCTGCTGGGATGCTCAAACAGTTATCGCAGCCGCAATCACCATATTCAGGCGTGCACGGGGTTTGATACGTATTGGAGAACGTGACGTTGACCCCAACCATATAAACGTCTTGCATGACAATGTCTGTACCTGCAGT